TCTAAGCAAGGGTCTAGTTACACTCAACCTGTCAATGAATGGGTTGTCTGGTACTATTCCTGGTGCCATTGGAAGTATCAGTGGCCTGGAACAATTGTTCCTGGCACACAACAATCTGTCAGGACCAATCCCTGCAGTTCTACAGGACATGGCATCTTTGTCAAATTTGGATTTCTCTTTCAATAATCTGCAAGGGGAAGTGCCAAAGGAAGGGATTTTCAGAAATTTGGTTAACTTGTCAATCATCGGAAATAACAAGCTTTGTGGAGGAATACCCCAGCTTCATTTAGTTCCATGCAAGATAGATTCTGTGAAAAGGAACAGAAGAGGGAAATCGAAGTACCTTAAAATAGCACTACCAACCTTTGCACTCTTATCATTAGCTATTGTTATTGCACTCGTTCGCTTGATCTACAGGAAACAAATACGAAAGCAGAAGGGAACATTCAAACCACCAATGGTTGAGGAACAATATGGAAGAGTTTCTTATCATGCATTATCAAATGGAACCAATGGATTCTCAGAAGCCAATTTGCTGGGTAAAGGGAGCTTTGGGACAGTGTATAAATGTGCTTTTCAAGGTGAGAGAATTGTTGTAGCTTTAAAGGTTTTTGACCTTAAACAATCAGGCTCTACTAAAAGTTTTGTAGCCGAATGTGAGGCACTGAGAAGGGTGCGCCACCACTGCCTGATGAAGATCATCACATGCTGCTCAGGCATCAATGAACAAGGTCAGGATTTCAAGGCATTGGTTTTTGAGTTCATGCCAAATGGTAGCTTGAATCGTTGGCTCCATATAGAATCTGACATGCCCACTTTGAACAATACTCTCAGCCTTGCACAAAGGCTAGATATCGCTGTTGATATCATGGATGCTCTGGACTATCTTCATAATCACTGCCAGACACCAATCAGCCATTGTGATATCAAACCAAGCAACATCCTTCTTGCAGAAGACATGAGTGCCCGAGTTGGAGATTTTGGCATAGCTAGAATCATTACAGAAAGTGAAAGTAAAATTCTGCAAAATTCCAATAGCACAATTTGCATAAGAGGCTCCATTGGCTATGTTGCTCCTGGTAAATGCTATGTTTTGGATTTTTTATTTATATTCCAAATCCTTCTATAAATATGGCATGCTGATCAATACTTCCTTTTTCTTTTGCATAATAATAGAGTATGGTGAAGGTTCTTCCATCACAACTTTTGGTGATGTTTATTTTTTTCTCGAACTACGCAGGAGAGCTGCGCGTCATTTCATTAAGGTAGAAAAACGGGTTTGGGTAGCCCATACCCAGTTACAAAACACACACCAACACATCAGCAGCCATTATACTTAGGCTGACAAAACACACACCAACACATCAGCAGCCATTATACACAGGCTGCGCCAGAATGGGGAAGAGGTGACCAAACAGAGAGCACTAGCTCTTGGAGCTTGGAAGCCCCAGCCATGCACCATAGGCGGCCCTCAGTGTTTATAGCCCTAAGAACCTCCTGAGTGTTCGGCCTGGCCTTTTCAAACACACAATCATTCCTGTGTTTCCAAATCTCCCAAGCGACCAGGATTATCAGAGAATTAAGGCCCTTACGCATCTCTTTTGGTACAGCCAAGAATGTTTTCCTCCACCATCCAAAGAAACGGGTCTCGGGAGATTCAGGAGCTAGGTGTATCAGACCCAGGTGTTGGAAGATCAGCACCCAAACCTGGCGGGAGAACACACAGCCAACCAGTAAGTGGTGGATTGTCTCCGGAGCTTGGTCACAAAGGGGGCAAGCCTCCGGATGAGGCAGACCTCGCTTAGCCAGGCGATCAGCGGTCCAACACTTGTTGTGAAACACTAACCAAATGAAGAATTTGCAACGTGAAGGAGCCCAGCTTTTCCAAATCCTCCTCCAAGACCCAATTCTGACAGAACCCTCAAAGAAGGCAGCATATGCCGATTTACTGTTATAAGACCCCGATTGACTTAACTTCCATTTGTATTGATCTGGAGTATCTTGCTGCAAGACAATATTCTCCACAATATCCCAGATCTGAAGGTACTCATACATGACCTGAACTGTACGCGCTCCCTTGATGTCACCCACCCAGCGATTATTTTGGAGCGCTTGAACAACAGTCCTTCTTTTGGTCAATCTTTTAGGGACCGTGTTGAACAGATTGGGAGCAATTTCATCCAAAGTATGACCATCCAGCCAGCGATCTGTCCAGAACAAGATTTTCTCCCCATTACCAACTATTGCATCCACAGCAACATTAAAAAGGGCCTGAGTGTTTCTGGAAATTTGTACTGGGAGACCAGCCCATGGCCTAGAAGGGTCTGTCTTTTGTGCCCAAAGCCAGCGGGCCCTTAATGCGCAACCAAGCAGTTCCAGGTTAATAATTCCAAGTCCTCCATATTCCAGAGGCCTCTGCACCTTTTCCCATGCTACCAAGCAATTACCACCATTTGCCTGTTCCTGTCCTTTCCACAAGAAGCCCCTTCTTTTTTTGTCTATAGCCTTGAAAACCCATTTTGGAAGATTCATGGCTATCATATGATAAATGGGAGCAGCGGTTAAAACCACTTTTACCAGTACCAATCGCCCGGCTTTGTTTAACATGGAAGCTTTCCATCCTGGAAGATAATCAGCCACCTTATCCACTAAAGGCAGCAGTATTTCTTTGGTCGGTTTGCCAATTGTGAGTGGAAGACCAAGGTAGGTACAGGGGAATGCCTTGATAGAACAGGAGAGAACCTCAGCCGTGAGAACCAGCTCTTCATTAGTACAGTTGATAGGAGACACTGAGCTTTTTGATAAATTGGTTCTGAGTCCCGAGGCATGTCCAAACAGGTCAAGGAGGTGGCGGACTGTGTTAAGATCTAAACTGTCAGGTCTCAAGAAAATAACAGCGTCATCAGCATAGAAAGAGACCCGATGCCGGGCCTGCTGAGTGGCTAGAGGTTGAAGCAGTGCCTCCCTGGATGCATACTCAACCATTGAATTCAGAACATTCATTACCAACAGGAACAACATGGGGGAGAGAGGATCCCCTTGTCTAAGGCCTCGGCGGTGAACTATGAATTCCCCTGGTTCTCCATTCACTAGAATCTGGGTGGACGATGTGGATAGGATCAGGCAAATCAGATTACACCACCGCTGTCCAAAACCCACATGGCGAAGGATTTCCAGTAGAAACGACCAGGAGACAGAATCGAAAGCCTTAGATATGTCCAGTTTGAGCAAGATATGAGATTCCTTTTTCCTATGCAGGGATTTCACCATCTGTTGTACAAGCAGAAAATTATCATGGATGTTCCTGCCTCTGATGAAAGCACTTTGATTTGTAGAAATCAGAGAGGGGAGAAATGGAGCCAGTCGATTTGCCAAGATCTTAGTGACCAACTTAGCAAAGCTATGAATTAGGCTAATAGGCCGAAAATCCTTCACCTCTAGTGCATCTATCTTCTTAGGCAGCAGTGTAATGAAGGCCGAGTTGAGTAGTCTGAACTTAATGACATGGCCACGGTGAATAGCATCCAAGGCCATCAACAAATCACCTTTGATAACACTCCAGCATGTTCTGTAGAAGCGCCCAGTAAACCCATCAGGCCCAGGGGCTTTGTCCAATGGCAAATCCTTTATGGTAGCCCATACTTCTTCTTCAGAGAATTGCACATCCAGACTTGTCAAATCATGCTGCTGAATGCCAATTTCATCCAGATTTATTGTATATTCCTCTCAACTGCACTTCCAAGAATGCCTTCATAGAAATCCAACATCGCATCCTGTTTATCCTTCTCGTGATACGACCACCTGTTCCCCAACATGCAGCTTTGGGATGTAATTCTTCTTTTCCTGAATCTAGCGTGTTGATGGAAAAAAGTAGTATTAGCATCCCCTCCCGGAGGTACAATATTCGGAACGTAGTCCGCAATGGTCCGTTCTAGTGAGGCCAAACCAAGACAGTGAAGCTTTAGTTTCTTGCGCAGCCATTCCTCCCCATCCGATAGGTCCCTAGAGTCCCTCTCAATTTCCAAACGGTGGAGGACCTCCTTAGCCATTCCAAGCTGGACTTTAATATTCCCTATCTTCCGCTGACCCCACTTTTGGAGACCCTTACTGAGGCGCTGCAGCTTCAGGAAAAGACGCTCAATGGCACAATTAGACTGTACAGGAGCCTCCCAGTTTTGCTTGACAGCATCCAAGAAACCCGGGACTTTGGTCCAGAAACTTTCAAAGTGGAAGCGCCGCTTTCCACTGGTGCTTACCTTCAAGCCAAGAATCAGTGGGCAGTGATCAGAAACTCCGGCCGTTGAACTCTGCAGGACTGAATCTGGGAAGATACTTTCCCAGCCCAAACAACAGAAAGCACGGTCCAATCTAACCAGAGTAGGAGACCTTCTCTCATTCGACCAAGTGTATTTACGACCCATAAGCGGTATCTCTTTTACCTCAACCTCATCCAAGAAGCGCCTGAATCTTCCCATCATAGCCCTATCCAAGTTTGTATTATTCTTGTCGGCAGCCTGGTAAATCAGATTGAAATCCCCTGCCACAAGCCAAGGTCCATTGCAAACTGCTCGGATATTCCTAAGTTCTTGCAGAAATAGCACCTTCTCATCATCACCTTGTGGGCCATATACGCCAGTGAACCACCAATTGTGACCTTCCTGTTCCGAGAACAAAATAGAAGCTGAGTATGTGTCCACCCTGGAAGCCAATGCCTGACAAACATTACTTTTCCATGCAATCAGAACCCCTCCTCTGGTGCCATCGGCCGGGAGAGCTATGAATTTGTCATAAGCTGTGCCAAAGACTGAGAGGAACAGATGTTGAGACATATTGGCGACCTTAGATTCTTGCAAACACACAATATCAGCATTACTGGAAAAAATTGCCTCTCTCACAGAATTCCGGCGATCCTTCTGATTTAGGCCTCGTGCATTCCATATCATTATAGTAGTAGGGTTCATTTCAACTGATTACAATCGACCTGAGATAGGACCAGAGTCTCACAGGACATCAGCGAACCGCACCTGCTCCCCATTCCCAACAATCCAGCCAAAGATGGCAGCAATGGCTGAAACATGGGAATCAGATAGCAAAGGATTGTAAAGCTTGCAATATCTGTCTTGCGCTTCCGGCTCAATAACTTCCCTTTCACTAAAGCCTAGTTGCCTCATCACCCTCTTCTGTGCCTCTGTTACCAGAGGCCCTGGTGAGCATGGTCCTGCACCAGCTACCCGTCGGCTGCGCCGAGGCAGAGATCCTGGCGGTGGTAACTTCCTCCGGCGCTTCTGAATCACCGGCTGAGGAAGAAGCGAATCAATTGGCTTGCACACCTTGTTGAGCTTCTGGATTGGTGATTGCGGCCTGACTCCCTGAGAATTGGCATCTGTTGTATACGCTTCCCCTGACTTGGCTCTACGCCGCTGCCGAGAATAAACCCTTAAGGGGGCAGGTGAAGCTTCACAAACCTGGAGGCGTGGTGTGGCCGGGGCATCATCTTGTGTCATAGAGGGAGCAGAAGGAGCCGTAGGGTGCTCCAAATCCCCCACTTGGGAGCCGCCGACGGTGGGTACAGAAACGCTCCTCATCCTGAGAGCTGCCGCCGACGGGAAGCGCGTCGGGAGAGAACCATGCGCCACCGGGGTGGTCGGCCCGTCGTCCAGAGAGGCCCCGCCGCAGGCGGGTGGAGCCATGGGCGCCGGCAAGCTCGCCAGCCTATGTGCCTCGGCGTCTCTGTCAGCGGGAGCAGGTTGCAGCGGTGGTGGAGCACCGTCCCGGAAGCATTCCATCACTGGGTCGTTGATGGATGAGAGAGGCCTTAGCCCATTCTGTTCCGAAGTAGGCCCACCAGGCCCCGGCCCACCAGACAGCAGTGGCCCAACTGGAATCCCACTCTGCTCTGAGGTAGTCCTAGGAGGGTGAGGCCCAACCATCAGAGAGTCATCCACGTTCTCCTCGTCTTCCTGGGCACCTTCAACTTCATGAGCCCTTTCATCTTCATGAACCTTCACATTAATTCCGCCAGGGGCCATGCTGGCAGCCACCTGTGAGGCTGCACGCACCAATAACTCCACATGCACAACTTCCAGGGTCTCTTCGGGAGGCGGACCCTCGGGTGCCTCAACCGTCCCTTCCTCCTGGGTGGCCTCTTCGGGGGGCGGACCCTCAAGCCCGTCGTTTGGCTTCGTGCCGCACGAGGAGCGAGTTGAATGCACGGGGGGTCGCGCCGCCGAGGGACTTCCGGATGTCATCTGCCCTGGATGCTCCACCGGCGAGCCTCGCCGCCGCCGCCAGCGCCTACGACGGTGACCACCTTGGTGGTCAGCCGGAGGCGGGGGTGGGGGGGCATCAACCGATGGTGATGTTTATAGCCTTGGCATATTGCTGCTCGAGATTTTTACAGGAAGGAGCCCAACAGATAATATGTTTAGAGGTTCAATGGATCTACATAAGTTTTCAGAGGATGCTCTTCCAGATAAAATCTGGGAGATAGCCGATACAACAATGTGGCTGCACACTGGCACCTATGACAGCAATACAAGAAACATAATTGAGCAATGTTTGGTTCATGTCATTGCTCTTGGGGTATCTTGCTCAAGAAAACAACCTAGAGAGAGGACACTAATACAAGATGCTGTCAATGAGATGCATGCTATTAGAGATTCATACCTCAAGTTTGCCAGACCTCTTGTGGCAGAACATGGAACAGGAACGATCTTGCAGTAATTTTCAAACAACAGTGAATGAGTAGAGCTAAAAATGGGCAATATGTGATTATTGCTCTAGCACATGTCTAACTGCATATATGTTGTCAAATGTCAACTGAAACAACTGATCATTGTTCTAGCACATGTGATCATTGCATGCAAGTTTGTGTAACAACTGAAGCACATGTGAGGATTGAAGTCTCTTTTGGATCTGTATATTTATCATGTAAGAGTGTAAAATGGAAAGTAAGATGCCATGCAAATTTACCTTCTTAAGATAAGAAATGCTTGAGAAGGCACCAACTGCAGTTATTTGCAAGAGCAGTGATCACAGCTGAAGATGGATTAGAATATGTTGTAGATGTATGCAGTCACCTGCAATAACAGAAATCCACCCTCTTATAAGATATATGAAATGTTTGAATCTCCACAGTAGTGGGCATGTCATTTGTAGCATACTCTATGCTCCACATCCTCATATTGATTATAGATCAAAACATAAAAAAAAATGACTGTATTGAAAGATTAAGCATATGGATTTCAAATGACTACAGGTTCGGAACACAATACAGTTCTCGCAAAAAATAATTTTATGTAAGAAATTAAAGCAACCTCTAGCGCAAACTGACTATGTCTTTGTGGCAACCAGGCTGTCACAGATGAGAGAAATACAATATGTAGAAGCTTTGGTATTCCTAGCCGAGCTTCCAATTTCATTCACAGTTTCACTTATCCTGCTGCCGGTGGCTGCTGCTTAAATAAGCCAGAACAAACAAAAGCACCCAATTACCACTGCAAGTGCGGGAGTCTAGAGGAAAGCAACCTAAGAGAAGGAGAACCTGGCGACGACCTCGATGCCCGTGGAGACCCTGCCAAGCTCGCAAGTCGCAAGGTGGGACGAGGCTGACAGAGGTCCGGATGTGCTGCCTATCGACAGAGGCTGGCGGCCTCCAGCTTCTCGAATATGCCGTTGGTGAAGGAGATCGTGATGGCATTGGACCAGAGTGTTGTAGTGTCTCATCTCACCTTCTTCTTCCTCGCCGCCGCCCTTGTTCGGTTCTCGCCCTCGCACACACGGCGGGGCGCCGGTTCTGCGGCGACCGCCAGCGGCGGCCTCCTCCATGGGCTTCCTTGGCAGCGAGTGCATAAGTGGGCCTGCAAAAATCATTTATGACCCATTCGATTCCTACGTGGACAAGTGCGCTGCAGTAGTGGGCTGAAACGGCTGGGCCTGTAGAGAGACTTGGAGATGCAAAAGGCTGAGGAGTTTTCTTTTCTTTTCTTTTCTTTTTTGGAGTTTTCTTTTCTTTTATTTCTTTTCTCGCTTCTCGTCCCTTCCAGAGCGCTACAGTTGAGAGCGGTGACCAAGGGCGATCTCGTGTTCCCCTGTCGATTCGCCGTCGCCCTCACCGGCGTCGGAGGAGGAGGGGGGCTGGATGAATTGACGGAGGATTTGTATATACCCGTACTTATTAGGTTTAGGTTAAATAAGTTAGGGTTAGGTTTCACATGCCGGCGGTGTGGCGTGGGTTCGTCTTCCTGGGCAACGTCTCTAGCGGGCGATGGCGTGGACGTGCGGAGGACGGCTCCGACATCTACGGCAGCTTCCCCGACTTCGCTGGTGGCGACCGTACCAGTGAAGAGCACGAGCTCGCTGGATCTGGAGTTTTGTGCCTCCTCTAGATCTGGTCAAGTTCGCCTTTTGCCTCTCCCTCATCGTCTCCGACGAACTCCTCTGGCGAAGATCTTGGGAGGTATGTCTACCGACTCGCCGTGAAACCGGGTTGGTTCTTACCTACCACCTGCTCTGGTGGTTTCATTCCCCTTCTGGGTGTGCCACCATGCAGCGTGTGGGGATTGCTGGTAGCTCTTGAGGTGCCAGATTCCTTGTACTTCGGCGATGTGATGGCCAGCTGCCATCTTTTTCGGCCTGGGCATTCAGCGGTCACAGAGTATGTCGTTGATTTCGACATACTACTTTTGGTGCCAAATAAAGCTTGTGTTCAATCGTCGGGATGGAGGTCGGCTTCAAGCTCCAAGTTGCTCCGACCGCCGGTGACGAGGACGACCGGGAGGATGACTCTGCAAGGACTATGTTGTAATTTTTCCTTTCTTCAAGGGTGTCTTTGCAAGTCTTGGAATGTAAACTTTATGAAATATATATGAATACAAACCCGGTTTCTCAAAAAAGAAGAAGAAGCTGAAACAGTTCCCCTAAAAAAATAGCTGAAACAATTTGCTAAAAAAAGTTGAAACAGAGAAAAACTTACCTGGAGGGAAACATTTTTATTTCGGTCATCGCTAGCTCTCGCAACAGTTTTCTTTTTGGGGTGCTGCCGTGCCCGTGGGAATACAATAAGAAGGTGAAATTATATTGACGAGAGACGAGCTAAAAGTATAGTGTAACCTACACGGCACGCCGCACGCCTTTTTATTTTTATATTTTTTATTAATATTAAAAAAACATGACGGTATTTATGCGTAAAACGTTATAGTGGACGATTTGCCATGCCATTTAATAATTCCAAATAAACGGGTAAACGATACCAGGATTTCAGACGTCTCGATCAGATTCTTGCATGAGCATGACATTCGCGCTGAGCAGGAGCTAATGAAAAGAGAATTTTTACAATGGTTGTTGGAAAATGGACGGCTCACGAGCGATCCGATGGCTGAAAATGCAGAGGAACCGAGAGAAAGGAAGGCACCGGGAGACACCAAGTGAGTACTAAATGGTGGTCAGTACTCCTATAGCATAATGATCCTCAGAAAACTGTACTCATACCGTCATACCGTCATACCGTAGCTTAGAACGACCTAGGCCTCGTCCTTCGCGGCATAGCTAGATGCGTCCTGTGCAGGGGCAGGGGTGAGGGTCAATCCTCCTCTTTCTTTCTTTCCGACCATGGCTCAGACCACGACGGATCCGAGACTGGGGCTGTGTTGCACAATGGGCATGAGTAGAACTAATTACCGGACCTGGGAAGTCGAGACAATTCAGCGGGTCTATGAGATGCTTGTTCCTTCATTAAGCCTACTATATATTTTTCTTGATGGGTTCCATGGTGTAAAATTCCCAGAATAGCTATGTTCAGAGCCAGATGATAAACTGCCACATTTGGCACACATGCACCTCAATGAGTGCATATCATGTTCGCGGCTTCCACCAGCAGGCCAGATGCCAGAACTACTAGCTAGTTCTTCAGATTAGAGGTGCAGATGCAGTAGTGAATATCGGTGCAGAACTCCTGGGAAAAGGTGTGATGAGTGCAAAGTCTTTTTTCCCAAAGCTTCAGCTGCTCCACATAGGAAACTTGATCCCTCAACATAGGAAACTTTTGTGACGACATTGAGGTCGAATATGATCAACTCGTTGATGCCTTCCCTTAAGCGCCTGTTGCTTCTTGATTGCCCAAAACTAAGAGGTCTCCCTGAAGATTTGCATAGAGTTGCCAATTTAAAAAGAATTCACATTGAAGGTGCTCACCCAAGCTGCAAGAAGTTGTCAACCTTCCTGCAGTTGTGTAGCTCAAGGTGAAAAATAACAGTTGTTTGTCGATTGAGAAAGATCTCCAATCGTTTTGATGAAATAGGAGGGGCTTCCCCGTACTGAACTTTATTGAATTAAAAGAGCAGTTCCACCGATTACAATCAAGAAACAAAGAAAGTAGTATAGAAAATTGAAGCAATTACACAAGGCCTTCTAGCCATAAGGTAAAAAAAGGTTGATATCTAGCCTTAGCTCTTAGCTTAACTAGAGCAAGTTCCTGTCGAAAGACGCCTCGGCTGGTAGCCACTGAGTGTTGCAAATTTCTGAAGATTCTGCCATTTCTAGCTGACCAAATAACCCAGCACATAGAAATTATGATTTCCATGAAGAAAGGCACCCGGAGCTGATCCTTGAAGAAGGATAGAGTTTGAAGAAGGTCGCTAGTAATTAAATAATTAAATGTGCTAGGCCCAAAATAATTAAATCAGCAATAGCACTTGCAAAGAACCCTGTCTTTCATGACAGAAGCAAGTATACCAGAATCAAACAACACTTCATCAGAGATTGTGTTGAAGAAGGCAGCATCAAGACTGAGTTCGTCGCCACAAATGATCAACTGGCAGACATTCTAACTAAGGCCTTAGGCAAGGCCAAGTTTGAAGACATGAGAAGCAAGATTGGGATCATGAAGATCAAGGATGGGGGAAGCAGGTCTTAGGGGGAGAACTGTAGAAGTTAAGTCCTGCTCCCAGTTATCACTTAGTTATCTGTGCTTAATTATGTTTCTGCTATTAAGGCCTTGGGCAGCACAAGTGACTGTGCAAGTACCCAGGCAGTTAGCTGTTTAGTTAATGCTCTAATGAGCCATCAATGTAATCAATGTGCTACTTATCTCCTATATATGAAAGAGCAGTCGCCTGGGTGTGTTATCCCTGGCTGAGTAAAAACACTCTGTACCTCCAACAGTCCGCACCCAAGGAATTTTCTGAAAAACAGAGCAGCAAGGGGAGATCACCGGTCTCCATCCTGAAACTGAAAGCCGCCGCCTCACAAAACATGGAACTCTGCCCGTCTCTGAACACAACTAACAAGTACTGTAACAACCTGGAGGAGCACAGACATAGGATAGGAGTGCACAGCACGGGGATCTCAGAGGTGGCCTGCAGCCCACACACATAAATCATTATTAAGACGACGATTGTTGCTAGTAGTAGATCGACTCAGACGGTGAAAGGTCCGGCAATGCCGGCTTTCCTTTATTATATATAGCCTATATATATGCATTGTATTGTAGTAGAAATGAAATTTACTACTACGACTCAATTAATAATACGTATTGTACGAAGAGTACATATGCAGCGAGCACATGCATGACGAGCTCCGGAGTCCGGACACACAGAGAAGCAGAAGCAAGTCCCTCTCCCCGCGATGAAACAAGTCGATGGATCCTCCTCCACTCTCCGGTCTCCACTCCTGCAAATTAGTAAAATAAAACAGCCGCGGATTTATATATATATATATATATATATATATATATTTATTTATTTATTTATATATATTCAGGCAGCTATCTCCTACTCCGACTGTGCTTACTGTACTCCATTATTTTAACTTACTGACTGAAAACAAACGACGGCCAAGCAAAGGGATCGACCTGACGGCGCTCTCGTTTGTTTAACCACCCAGCTAGGCTACCTAGCGAAGCGCGAGGTATATAGTACACGTACACGTACACGTACGTCCGTTACTACTCCCTGCTAGTGCTAGTGCTAGTGCTGCATTAGGGAAATCAAAGAAGGGCGCGGGCAGGAGTAGGATACATACAGCAGAGATAGCAGAATATTCAAACCTAGGTACTGAAACTTGCTGATATTCCCTGAACCCCGAAGATGGTCTAAACAATCGAATTGGGCATCAGATCTGTCGGGATCGAAATTATCTTTCTGCAAAGCAAAACAGAATTTCTCTAAAAAAAAGCAAAAGAGAAAAGATCACTGGACTCCTAAATTTCGTTCCAGTTTTGAAGCCCAGGACCTTGTTGGGCAGAGAGGGGTTAACCAATGGCCACAAGCTGCCATTTTGGTCTCAGAGAAGGAGGAAGGATAGGAGGGGAAGCTAGAGTGGATCTTCCCGGTCCCGGGTTGTCCACTTGTCGACTGGGTGAATCGTGAATGAGAGAGGTGTAACTAGAGCTGCGCGACCGAGGCGAGGAATGGAGAAAGCAGAGGAAGGACCTAGCTTGCTAGACGTACCTCAATCAATCGGCTAAAGCGTTGTAGATCTTCAGGAGGAGATCGGGGTCGAAGTCACCCCCCCTGAGCAACAGCTACAACGAGGGTGAGGAAGGAGAAGCACAGGTTGATGAAGCCACCGTGCTCGTCGGCCGCGTCCCACCGTGCTCACCCACACCTCAACGGAGAGGGTGACGACGCCAGCGAGCACGGCCCCGACTCACGAAACATTCGAAATTTTTACAGTCTATGTTTTGGAATTTTGTACTACCACATCTCAAACTTTGTACTATTAGGCACAAAACTTTATAATCACACATTAAACGTCAAAACATACGCAATGGGTCTACTTTTGTATATCTCATCATAATGAACGCAATACAAACGGAATTAAAAGTAAATGCTTTATAAAAAAGTTATTACATTTTAAATAGATGAATAACTTTAAAAAAAGGGACGTACTTTTCATCTGCGGTTACACGAAAAAGTGGATTTCCCACGCCTGGACAGAAAAAGAAAACGTACAAAAGAGCGATGGAAATTAATGGTCCTGTTCGGCAGTACTTATTACTGCTGCTGTGGCTGATTTGTACGGCTGATTTGTTGTAAAAGAAAAATACTGTTTCTCGACTGATTTATACAGATTAAAGCCGCCTGTTCGCTTGCTCATAATCGATCGTAAATTTCCAGCCGGGAACAGTGTTTTTCTCTCACACCAAACTAGCCAGCAGTAAATAATCCACGATACGATACGGCCTCCCGAACAGGCTGATTGCGCGCTGATAACCATCCCGATGCACGCGCGTCAAGTAAGGATTAGGCGGGGCCAACATCGTCAGCGCCCCGCAGCCGTGCCGTGCTCCAGAGACGTCCTCGCCGCAGGAGCTGCGTCAAACCAAAGCAAAGCAAAGCAAAAACCAATCCAATCCAATCTCCACCTCCCTTGATCCTCTTTGCTCGGATTCGGATCTTAGTTTGCTGGAAGCCGGCAAGGAGCGGACGTCCCTGGTCTGGATACCGTGACCACGCTGCAGGGAGGCCAACGACGCGGCCAAGTGGTGCTCGCGTGAGTAGGTCCTTCCCACGCCGTAAGATGTGAGAGGAACCGCCGCAGGCGGGCAGCGCTGTCCTTCCTGCCTGTTCGCTGGGTGTTCAAGCAGCTTTTCAGGCTACTGCTCCTCTTGTTTCACGATGAGTCAGCTGCTGATTGGATGCCGTACGTGCTACAACTGTTTTATGGCTGCACAGCCACAGCCGCAGCTGCAGCCAATTGCCTGTTCATCATAGATGAAAGCCACAAAAAAGAAGTTGAGAATTCCGACGTTCAAAGATGGCCGTGCACGTTGAGAGAGATTAATTATGAGGTTCTACGCTAGTATATGATCAGTGCGTTTGTTGAACGTTTTGGTTCCTAATATCCTCTCCCTACCGTTGTCTGTCATAATAAGTGATTAGAGACTAGAAAGTGCAGAGTGGTCAGTGCTGCTCTCCAGCTAGCAAAAGCTCAGCCGTCTTGATCTCTACTAGGAGCATGCATTCTTATCCTGCCCTGTTTTCTTATGTCCTGGTGACCATCCCAGCGGGGGTGGTCGCTGTAGGCAGGAGGTGCACCTCCTTGCTGGCTTCCAGCACACGGGGAAGCAAAGGTACCAACAGAGGGCCGGGGATCGGTGGAGTTTGGAATGCAACAGCAGGGGAGGAGAAGAAGAACACGGCAGAAAAAGCAGAGAGGAAAATAACGGAAAGAGGAAGGATTGTATTAATTCACACTTTTCCTACAAATTTTGGACGGGGTTAAAGCACGACAGGTCACGCAAATCGTGGAGCGCACGACCCCAAGGCCAGAACCCCCACGCGCGCAACTCAATTCTGCATGCAGCCACTATACGCGCCGACAAGCCCATCTACCATGACGCCATCTCACGCAAACAACAAAAAACACAACATTTTCTTTAAACTGTTATAATTTTTGAATGTTGCATCCGTTTTTTATTCTGTCCGCAACGGTGAACAAAACTAAACGCCACTTACCTATATTTCATATTTCGGAGAATTTCATTCCAGTAACAATTTAGGTGTAAACATGTGCTAGGAGATTGACAAAAGAAGTTGCTACCATGTAATATTAAACTTGCTGCTCCAAAAATATAATAAAATTTTTTACATGGCATGTACACCGATTGTTACCATGGGAATATAATAAATTTATTATATAGTATTTACATAAAGGTACTAACCCCTAAAGAGAGTAGCGGACCAAAATAAGACAAGTTGCAACTTAGAGGGGTAAATTATTAAAATAGACATTCAATGAGCTGTCAATTGCGGGGTAAGTAATTATACAATAAATTATAAAAATCCAGGAAACATGACTTGCTGTCAACTGGGGGCATTTATTAAAAAATGAGGGTAGCGACATAAAACAAGACAAGCTGCAACCTAGGAGCAAATTATTAGAACAAGAATTGCATAAGCTGTCAACTAGAGGAGCAAGTTATTATATAACCCACTACATGAGCTAGGAGACTAGCTGACAATTGGAGAGACATTTATTAAAAAGGCACGAGTAGCGATCCAAAAATAAGACAAGCTGTACCCTGAGAGGCAAATTATTAGAAGAAACATTGCATAAGGTGTCAACTTAGAGGGTAAGTTATTATACAACTAATATGTAGGATTTAGGAATGCATTCGAACTAGTGCATAGCCAGGATTTGTAGCTCTACAGTAAGCTTATTGGAGGCAGGCACTTTTAATTAATGGAGGCGGGCATTGCAACCGTCTTTAATGAAAGGTCACGGTTAATGCAGATTAATGGAGGCGGTTGCTTTACTCACCTCCGAAAATAAATTAAAAAAAACAAAAAAGGCCGTAGCCCAAACCGGACCTGGACCTAGATTTGGGCTGCGCGCCGCCGTCGTGGCAGCTCGATCCGGATGCGCCGCCGTTGTGGTTGCTCGATCTGCCGCCGTCATTGCTCAATCCGGATGCACCTTCACAGGATTCGGCTAGCGCGGTCGTGGATTCGGCCACTAGCGGCGGATCGGGCCACCACGGGTGCGGATCCGGCCACCACGGTCGCCGGAGGAGGGATGAGGGCCGAGGGCGCCCCGACCGCCGTGGGAGCGCCGCCACCGGTGGAGCAGGTCAGGGGAGGAGGGCGCTCTTGCCGCCGGGGGAGCGCCTCTGCCGGTGGAGCATCTCAGCGGGGGAGGGAAAAAAGATATGATTTTTCTAAGATATATTAATCATATCAAATCATATTTTTTTGCGAAATTAAATAAAGATAATTTTTATATGAAAATTATAGATCTCGACGAGATCTACAACTTTCTAGTTTTGAGTTTTTTCATTTGAAGTTGTTAAGATGCTAAAAAAATTAATGATATATTTAGACATAAGGGTATTTTTGACTTTTCACACCTGCAGTTTGACGGTGTTAGAGGCCAAACTGACAGCAGTGGCATGGAGGACACAAAAAAGTTGGAACAGTGACGCTGAAGACCTAAACTTTTCTAAAGGCGCACAGGACGTTACGATCTTTTTTAATGACACACAAGGAGTTGCCCCTTAGGCGAGACGGTGCCCCTCTCCGCCTAGCGTTGAAGCGCGCCCAGGCGAGCCTAGGCGAGCGCCTTTTTGAACATTGGGTAACCCTAATCCTCAGATCCTTGAGCTTCTCCGTCAATCCCCCCAACACCGGGCTGAAGTCCTAAACGGCGGATCGGCCATCTTCGCGGGCTGTCCTCCGCGCGGCGCCGCTACGTCGGGGATGGCGTCCGGATCGAGCGACGCCGGGAACGTCTGCCCTTGGCCGGCGTCGATTCTCCTCGCGGAGGAGGGGTACGCCGCCGCCAGTAGGAACGACACCACGGCCAGAGCCAGATCGAAGGACAACCATACCGTGGAGATCACCTTCTGGATCGCTGATCCACCGGCGGTGTCCTTCTACACCTTCCACTGCATCAAGGCTCCCAACTCCAACTCCAAGGACGTCGACCTGAGAGTTAATTCAGACGTTGTGGGCGCACATGGCAGATTCCTTCTTATTCGCACCCTCTTGGCCGGAGATGACCAGGATGAATACTTCATCTACAAGGGCCACCCCAAGTCCCCGTCCCTCGAAAGCATCCCGCTTATTCCATATCATTATAGGCTGCACGGAGCGGAGTTCGGAATCGTGCTCCGCGGTGACGATGGCCATTATCTCCTGATTGCACTCCGTGGCACGGTGAATAAAGATTACCGGCTTCACATCTACTCGTCTGAGGATACAACATGGACGACTAAGGAACTGCCCAATCCATGTCCTGAGGTCGGTACAATTATGCCGGACAAGGTCTTCACACTCGGAGATGGCTTGGTGTTATGGGTCGGTTTGCTGAAAGGTATAGTGACATGTGACGTACTAAAAGAACCCCATCGTGCGCAATACATCCCATTGCCTGAGCCCTTGCCTGAAAACAGAGAAAAAGTGAAGAAATTCCTCCCAGGAGTTAGGCTTTTTCGGGATGTCACCTGTGTTGATGGTCTGATCAAGTTTATTGAGATAGAAAACCGTGTGATTGTAAGAGAGATTACAGATGATCCTCCTGAAAAGCCTTTTGACCCAAGGACCAAGGATGTGTTCTATGATTCAGAATTGATCATGCTGAGCAAGCACAAACCAGTGGAAAACAAGCCTAAGATTCAGCGCTCAGAGAATGGTTGGAGTGCCACTATATGGACTAGGGTGATAGGGTCGAACTTTTGGCTCAAAGGAAGCGTTGTTGATGTGAATGACATTTTGGTCGATGACTCGGTGTTTCCAGCGTCGGTGTCCAGCAAGAAGAGTGAATCTGCTGGGAGCCTGACATTCAAGAAGAACCTGCCGTGTGCTCGGCCCACCCTGAGCACGGACGGTAATGACATCCTTTACCTCAAGTTGTGTAGCCGGCAATTGGGTGTACCGGTGCTGGCTGCTGTCGACCTTGTGGAGAAGACAATGAAAGTGGAAGCACCTGGAGTGCGTACTTTTGGAAAATATCCCCCTTCGCAGCAAACATTGCGTCCCTGTGCATTGGCGAACAGCCTGAAAATGACTCCAGGTAACTGTTGACCTTCTCTTGTTATCAACACGCCTGTGACATCACTGTTGGCCAATTATATTGTTTGCTGCTTACACCCTTTTAAGCTCCACACCATATATGTTTGTTATTACTCGTGGTTTCTGCTGTGAGAAATAGGGATATCTGGTTTTTGTACCTTGCCTTTATGACAATATCTTAATCTCATTTAAACTTTTTGTTTACAATAGATACAGGGCATGTAAGGTTATATTCTCTGTTGATTTTTATTTATACTGTGTAGAATCCAGTCTTAATCTGTGCTGGGCAGCCATATTTTTTATCTGCGCTAATGCTTATCGAAGAATTCAAATGATTCTATGCTTGGGTGAGAGGATATTTACAAACTGCGTGCTATTTTGCACTCCATATGAGTCTGCAAAAGTAAAATAACTTGAGCACTACTGAATCTCTGTTTAGGACTATGGTATTGCTTATGAGTTTACCTGTTTCTGTAGGCATTAAAGTCTCAGCAAGCCAGATTGCAATGATGGACAGCTCTGCCAATAAGCCAAACAGTACAGCTGTAAGTATTTTCTATCATGCGCTGGTCTTCTTATTTCAAAGAATTCCCAGTTCCCACCTGACCTGCTAATGTTTCCTCCCTTGTGTCTGTAGATCCGTGTGGGTGAGCCCATTTCCTATGAATCTGAGAACAAACGTCCAGGGCAGGTTTCTTACTCTGTTCTTTCAATATCTGTGCAATGATGATCTGTTTTAAATTATCAAACCATCGAATATTCTGAAAGCTATCGCTCATTAGTTTTAGCTGATATTGGAGCTCTTTTGTATAATCGGATTTGCTGTCCTCAGGCTCTTGGCTGAGAAAGTCAACCATGCACAAAATGGAGCTCGGAGTACTGTACAGAATGTTCTTATCTCACAGGCCCATCCTAATCAAAACAATATGGTATGCTGAATCCAGTATATCATGTTTCCTAGTATGTGTCATACAACAAAAATAGTTCTAATGTGCCATTTCCAGCCTCCGCGGCTATGTTTTAACAGGTACGAGCAGCTTGGCTACAGTGGGTACTCATCGTGGCCCCATCAGAACAATCCGGTAAGCCGTATTTCATATGCACTGTTTCCCATGTGCACAGAGCGTGTTCTTTTCCGCGGGAGAAGGAGACTAAATTTTAGTCCCAATTAGTCCCTTTGAACCAAATACCAGGAACTAAAACATGGACTAGGGATTAAAATATAGTAGTCCTTTAAGGGGCTGCTAATTGGGACTAAACAGCCCATACCCCCCTCTCTCTCCTCCCTCACAGTCTCTCTTCTCCTTTTAGTCCCTTTTAGTCCATGGAAACAAACACCATTTTAGTTTCTGTTTTAGTTCCTGTTTTAATCTCTAGTCTTAGGACTTGGATCCACTGCAAAAACTGTTTGATCTAGCAACCGAGAAAGGACATTTGTCCAGGCTGAGGGGGAGAACAACTAAAATTAGAGCTTCAATGTATGCTGACGACACGGCCATTTTTGTCAAGCCAACAAGGAAAGACATCTTAGCTATGGCTGAGCTCCTAACCTTGTTTGGCGAGGCTTCAGGACTGAAAACCAACTTTCGAAATCCACAATCATCCCTCATGACGGTGTGAAAGATTAAATCTAAATGAAATCTTTCTTTGGCTCTCCAACGGAAATTTCATGCTTCCCAACCAAATACCTAGGCCTACCGTTAACGCATCAGCGCCTTAAGGCGTGTGGACTTCAACCTCTGGTAGACAAAACGGTCAACAAGCTCTTCGCTTGGAATGGGCGCCAAATTAACCCAAAGCAAGTCGCTCGACTCTAGTTAAAGCGGTCCTTACTTGCATAAGCAGTCTACTTCCTCACATCCCTCCGCAGGCACCAAAAGCGACAATCAAGGACATTGATCGGCAGAGGAAGAGGTTCCTATGGGCAAAGCGCCAAGACGCTAACAGGAGGAAAATGTAAGGTCAATTGGCCGAGGTCAGCTAGACTAAAATATTCGGAGGCTTGGGCATCCTCCATCTAGGGAAGTTTGCAAGGGCATTAAGGTTGAGATGGCTATGGCGACAATGGTCGGCAAGTTCGATGGTAGTCTTGGGGATGAAACCCCATGTAACACGACCGATCAGCTCCTTTTTGCGGCATCCACAACTTTAACAATAGGAGACGGAAAAAGAGCATTGTTCTGGTCGAGTGCATGGATAGACGGTCAATGACCATGCGACGTGAAGCGCCGCACCTATTTGCCATCTCCGAAGGAAAAATAGAACTCGCAATGTGCACTCCTTGATAATAATTGGATTCGTGACATCAACCTTCAACATCATAATTTCTCCGCCAAAGACTTAGCTGAATACACACATCTATGACAAGCAACTAGGCGATAATTCTAAGAACGGGCACGCCGAGATAACCTTTCCGGAAATTTGAGGAAAATGGTGAATACACAACATCCTCTCTCGCTTACCATGCCCAGTTTATTGGTGCAACCAAAAACAACTTTGAGGCACTCATTTGGAAACCTTGGGCACCACCTAAATGCAAATTCTTCAGTTATTTGCGATTCAAAAACCGAGTTTGGACGGCTGATAGATTGGAAGCTCGGAGGTGGCCAAACCAAGGAACCTGCACACTATGCCTGGGCTTCATGCGGAGACAGCTGCATCTTTTTCAGGACTGCAGATTCACGGAAGCGCCTCTGGAAGGAAATTGCCACCTGGACACAAAACTCCAACCTACACCCGAGTGCATGGCCACATAGCGAGACACTTGAGAACTGGTGGACGGCGATGTCAAATGCGCCGAGTACGAGGAGGAAAGGCCTACGTTCGCTCATTATACTAGTTTGCTAGGAAGTTTGGAAGGAGAGGAATTCGAGAGTTTTTGAGCACACAGAGTCCACCAATGTTATGGTTCTTCAAAGAATCAAAGACGAGGCGAGACTGTGGATCTTGGCGGGAGCAAAGCATCTTTCTACTTTCCTTCAACTTCTCTCCTAGTTTTCAATTGTTTATTGTGTTTTTTGTTTTTCTAGTTGTGTACAGAGTCGAGTTGACTGAGTTGTACAGTGTCCGTCTGGACGTTCCTTCTTTTTAATATAGCGGGCAGCTCTCCTGCCGGTTCGTTTAAAAAAAAAAAAAAAAAAAAAAAGAACACACCCTTAGTCATCATACATCAACATTAATAGATTGTGCTTCTCCAGCAGCCGCCGCCACCGTCATGCTTCAACAGGTGGGCTGGACCCTACAACCCTGTCTATCCACCGTCGGCCCCTGCACCTAACATACAAAGCTATGTCAATTATCAACCGCTGCCGCAGCAGCCACTACCGCAGGAGCAGCAGACTACTGGCATTTGGACCTCACACGGTAACAAAATTGTGCAGCTTTTATGATACGAATCCATGTCCTCATTTGACCTGCTGTTTTAGAAAAGACAATCTCTTATTATTAAAGTTTAGGCCTTGCCTGGATGCAAAATATTTTTGAAACACTATGGTTTTGCAAAATACTTCATCAATTTTCAAAAGTTACCAGGTGTTTGGATACAACAAATCTTGTAGTCTTTAAAACCATGGTTTTGTGAAAACTATAGTCTTTTTGGAGTTTTAAAAACTCCACTCATTACCTCTTTCTTCTAAACCGTAGTTTTGTGTCTTTGGCTTATAAAACTACAAGTTTTATGATACTACCGTTTCCGAAAACAGCGTCATCAAAACAGGGCCTTACTTTCATATATATACTCTTACTAGAAATTATTTAATGTGCTATAATCTCCTTGTGTTGTGTGATTAGAAAGCTCTAGAAATCGTGGACATGTTTATAAACGTGAAAAGAATTCCAAAAGGGATTAAAACATTCGAATAAGCTTGGTTTAATTCATTGTCATATATTTACAAAGATTTAATTATTTATATGTCTGCTATCTGTACTGCTTTTATCCTACAGTGAACTTAATTAGAAGTTGCTGTTTCCAGGCACACCCCATCTATACTTAACAACTGGTATGGAGCCAGCTACCATGGGAATTCACAGCAGCATTAACTCATATGCGTATGGTGCCCACTCAGGCAGTGGCATCTACCATCAGCGCTGATAGCATCTCCTCCCTATTCAGTTGTTTGCCTATGCAGCTTAGCAGCAAACACGCAGTGGTGTTTTGATCTCATCCTGTAAAGCATTGTTGCAGACTAAGATGTGCTGTCATCTCCTTTTTAAGACAGTACCCATGGCGTCAGCGATATTCTCCTTTTAAAATTTTCATACTAATGAATTTAGAGGGTTGAACGGTTGCCTTAAATAATCTATATTAGAGTTGGGTGTACATAAACTATTAAAACTGTTAGCAACTCCAAACCTGCTAATGAAACTAAGGCCCCGTCTGGATCCGTGGAATTGTTAAGCTAATATAGTTGCATGTGAAATATATTTGTATACTATTGTCGGTCATATGAGGGAGATACGCCACCACGGCCCGGGGATGAGGACGCCACCACGGCCGCGCCGCTGACGGCCGAGGCAGCCAGCTCTGGCGCTTCGTCCCCTCCGCCGCTGGGGCTGGATGCGAGCAACGCCACGGCCGGGCCCTGGAGTATCGTCACGGCGTCGCTGGACGCCTCAAGCTCCTCCCTCTCGCCGGCCGCGGCACCGTTCTTCCCCGGATGCTCCTCGGGAGGGCGTTCGAAGAGCCGGCGGTGGGCAGACGACGACGACGAGGAGACCGATGACGACCACCCCGCGTCATACCTGGAGGCCGCTCGTCGCCCGGCGAAGCCGGCCTCAGCGTCCCCCGTGCGCCGCCAGACTCGTTCAGCCGCAGTTTTGGGGCGCCGCGGAGCGGGGCCTTTGCACGGCTGTGCTAGTGCTGAACGGGGGCGACAGGGGCATGGCCGTAGGTGGAGGAAGCGCAGCCGGCCACGCCCGCAGCTGGTGAACGGCTTGCCTGTGCGGCCAGTGGATGGCCGTGTCCCTGCCCGCCAACGCCTCGGCCGTCGTGGACGGGTCTCCGCCCCCAACACCGATGGGTGGCGTGAGAACCTCCCCCGGCAGGTCACAGGATCTGCTGCTGCTGCCTCGACGGATCCTTGCCCTAGCCAGGGGCAACTTTCGCAGGTCAAGAAGATCCCGGCAGATCTTCACGGCAAATGCTTCAACTGCCTTTCCTACTCGCACCGAGTAGCGACTTGTCGGTTGCCACGGCATTGCCTGCGCTGTCGCGGATTCAGCCACCTCATCAAGGACTGCAGGCGTAGGAATGCTTCGACCTCGGCAGCGGTGGGTGCTGACCTGCCACGGTACTCTACTCGCGTCAGCCCTACGTCCTCCCAGCACGCGCCGCGCGGCGGTGCGAAGGGTGCCGCACCGGGGGCCGTGGGGGCGCCGGTGGGAGACGACGACAACATCGGCGACGCAAGACTAAGCCGAAGGAGATCGGCACGGGTGCGCCTGCCGACCACGCTGACAGGGCACTTGCTTCTACTGCTGCACTAAGCTTCCCCGAGCCAGACCCGGTGGCGCTGGCGCTGTGCATGAGTGCGGGGCCCCCCGCATTGGTCATCTCTTTCGACTCGATGCTGGAGGAACTCGCCGCCTCGCTCGTCGTGAGCCGGCTAATGAGAGCAGCAACACCTGAGTGTCTGCCTTCTACGACAGCCCCTCAAGAGGTTGAGGCACCAGTGGCGGGCACCTGTTCCCCGACGACGGCTGCTCAGTGGACGACAGACTTGTCTCTGATGTCGCTAGTGCAGGGGCCGCCACAACTCACGCCACCACGAGCGGGAGCACCCGACGTCGCAGAGGGTTGCACCACCCCCAACGACGTGACGCCCACACCACGCGAAGCTGCCCGACGTCTCGCACGGTTCACTGAGGAGGTGCAGCTCGAGCGAATGCCTCCTCTGATCGCCAGCCCACCCAGGCAGAAGGTGCCAACCATAGGGCAACCCATGCCAAAGCGGAGCAGACGGATTGCCGCTCAGCCGCTGGCGCACATTCCGATCTCCAAGCGGGGCGAGGTGCTCCTCATGCGGAGGATGGGCTTTGCACCGCCGGCAGGTCCAATCTCATCCGCGTCCAAGAGAGCTTACGACGACTTTTTCGCAAGGAACTGGATGTCGAGCGAAGTGGAAGCACTGGACGAGCTGTTCCCGGCGACCGCTGCTACGATTGGTACAAGGCTCTTCTCGGATGACGAAGCAGAGTCACGCGGCCATTAGCGGAGACCCGCTCCGTATGTTACTACGCTACTCGTAGTTCGTTTGTTTACTTTTATGTAATATCGAAGTTCGAAACAGTCTGCTAGGAAGGTTCAGTCCAACTGTAAGACCTTCTAGGGCGCTCATTAGAAGCGCGTCGTGTGTATGGTTAAATTCATCTTCTTAATTACAATGATATGCAAATCTTTTGCGTATTCGAGAGAAAAAAATATGAGGGAGATACTTATGTGCTACACTTCTGATATAGGGAAGCGAGTTGAAGAGTGGGCTATAAATTGCACAGTAGAAATATAGCATGATGATTTATAGAATCAATTTTCATCTTCCACACCATGAATTTAAGATAGCCTTACATCTAAACATTGGAAAGTTGTGGAAATTCAAATTCCAAACCAAATAGCTTACTCCATTAATGGCCCCTTTGGAACGCTGGATTTTTCTATTCTGTATTTTTCATGTGAAAAATGAATTGATTCTTGTGAAATTACTGTATTGCGAGGAGCCTTTGGAACTGCATGGGGTTTTGGCTACAAATGAAGTCTTAAAAATTGGATCTGGTAACTGAAGAACCACTTCACTAGTCTCAGGATTCATCCTCTAGGCCCCTCCATTCTCAAGGGATATTTCTTCGTGAACTTGTCATCAAGTATTCCATTATAAAGCGTGCGGGTACAAGTCAAAATGTTAGCTCACATATTTGGGTAAACCTTCCAAACAAAAGATACCAAAAATAGTACTCTGGCATTTCCAATGGTATTCAAGTTTACTGGAATGCTGAAGCGTGAGCACATCAGTGAATGAGGCTTAACTTCTGAAAACAGGTCCTTTGAAGAGCACATGTTTGGTAATTGGTAAAGGTGTGCAAGGGTCAGGGAGTGATGTAGAACGTGGGGTAGTGCAAAACTGTGCTAAACCAGTTTTGTTGATGAAGGCCAAACGAAATGGTACTGTGAAAACTAATCAACAACTGATATCTTCTGTTAGTTGATTGTGCTAAGGAAAATAACATAAGTATGCTCACAGTATTCGAAACTAAGATGCAGCTGTGGTTTAGATAAGAGGGACGCATATTGCCAACCTTTGCCTAATTCTTGGAAGCTACCTAACTACGAGATCCTGGCTGTCTGAATTTGAACTGAACTCGCTAACCCTAACCTTTGCCATCGCAAGGTATAAAACCACACTATATATATAGGATCAACTGTCACAATGCATAAAGCACGGAACCGGCGTCACAAACTCCCTCGCCATACAAGGCTTTGAAGACCACAAAATCCACTCATCACTGGCAGCGAGATCTAGAACCCTTGAAAGAACATCGGCAAAAGAAGAGGTCGAAATCGCCATGAAGAGAGCCAATTGGTTGCTTCCCCCGATAAACATACCAACTAACATCAAGATAGCAGATCCGACCAAACTCTCATTGGCCCTTTGTCAACGCCGGATCGAACGTCGATGAGCTAAGGAGAGGCTAGACAAACCTTATTCTAATGCATCATCATAGCCACCACCTCGTCGATGATGCCAGAAACCAAATCTAAAAGAACAAGGATCAACGAAAAACTAAAAAGGACAGGGTGATCAAGTCCCCACTCCTCTGGCGCCGGTGGGAGAGAGGAGGGGGACCGAGGCGTTCATGTGGAGATGGGCGGTGGTGGCGGTTGTTTTTCTCTCGTATAAGCCCCGCCTAACTCTAACCACAATCAGGTCTTGACCAGAGTACTCAGTTACTTCTTTTACCTCTATATTCAGGCACAAATTTAAGCCCACTATTAGATTTCTTTGTATCCTTTTTTTTCTCGTTTTGTTCACATACTACATTTTATATATTCCACAAAACATATTTTTGATTATTCACACAATATCCATCAGATATGAGCATAACTTTTGTGTGCTCTACTTTGGAGGACAACGATGATTTTGTCCTTATTTTTTAATAACTTCATGATTTCTGAATTAAACCTGAGTATTATATTCCGTTTTTAATTATAAAATAATACATCGCCCAGCGGCCAGCGCCGGCCGCCCGCTCGACAACGCACGCGCCGACGGCACGCTGCCCGCGCGGCGCCGTGGCCTGCTCCAGTCCGTGCAAAAGCGCCGCACCAACTCCGGAACTCCCGAGGCCGCCATCTCCGCCGCCTCCGGCACCCGTTCCTCTGGCCTCCGCCTCCCCTGACTGGAGACGGGACTGTCTGCAAGTGTACCTCTACTGTTCTATTGGCCCTCGCCGCCGCCGCAGTAGAGCTGTTACTGCTGTAGCACGATGCCGCCGCCGCGGCTCGAGTCCGCGATCCTCGACGCCTCCTGCAGGTTCAGCAAGCCCCTCTCCGGTACGCATCGTGTCCGCCTCCTTCCTCTTCTCATTGCCCGAAGAAACTCTACTATCCAACGAGTTCGTCGCTCACGCGATGGGATCCTCTATCCAACGGCGAAAATTTCCTATTTCTGCTCTCTCGAGACGGGGACTAACTCCCTGCCGATGCTGGTGTTTCATGCGCAGTTCTGAGGAGGCTCGGCGTTCTTGGCTGGCACTGCCCACCAACCGTTCGACGCAATGCCGCAGAGGGGTTCCTGCCTTCGGTAGGCTTGCCTTCACTGTTTCGCCAGGTTGTCGTTTGGAGTGGAAACCTTCTTGGGTCACCAAGGTTCTGCCACGCCATTGCCGGCATGCCAGATCGTCTCACAGACGTCTACACCAGTGAAGTACTGAAGGTTCTCAAGTCCACCAGTGCTGACAACGCTGATCTCAGCGATGCTCTTCATCGGTTCGCGGTCCACATGGATGAGGATATTATCCTCACGGTGCTCCAGAAGCAGCGGTCCAACTGGCAGGTCGCCCTGGCGTTCTTCAACTGGGCGGCGACCCTGCCAGGGTATGCCCACGGGTCGAGGGCCTACACTGAGATGCTGGACATTCTTGGGCGGATGAAGAAGGTCAGGCACATGAGGCAGCTGTTTGACGAGATTCCTGAGGAGCGGCGTGTGGTGGTTGTGACGAATAAGATGTTCGCCGTGCTGTTGAACCGGTACGCGGGTGCGCACAAGGTGCAGGAGGCGATAGAGGTGTTCTACCTGAGGAAGGATTACGGGTTTGAGCTCGACTTGGTCGGGTTCCAGATACTCCTGATGTCGCTGTGCCGGTATAAGCATGTCGAGGAGGCGGAGGCACTGTTCCGTGAGAAGAAAGATGAGTTCCCGCATGTCACAAAGAGCTGGAACATTATACTAAACGGTTGGTGTGTCAAGGGAAGCTGGAGAGACGCTCTAAGGATTTGGAATGATATCATTGCATCCAAGGTTGAACGAGACCTGTTCACATATGGTACATTCATAAACGCACTGGCCAAAAATGGCAGAATTAGTGCCGCGGTGAAGCTGTTCAAAAGTATGTGGGAGAAAGGGATTAATCCTGATGTCGCGATTTGCAATTGTATCATTGACCAGCTGTGCTTCAAGAAACGAATTCCAGAAGCACTTGAGATTTTTGGTGAGATGAATGACCGGCTTTGTCAAGCCGATGTGGCTACCTACAACACTTTGATAAAATACTTATGTAAGATAAAAAGGATGGAAAAAGTTTATGAACTTTTGGATAAAATGGAAGCAAAGGGCTGCTCTCCAAACAATAGGACATTCTCCTACATTCTGAAGACAACTGAAAAAACTAAAGATGTCATTGCTTTGATGCAGAGGATGGAGCAAACCGGCTGTAAATTGGATTCTGATACGTATAACTTAATATTGAACCTTTATATCAACTGGAAATATGAGAAGGGGGTGCAACAGGTATGGGATGAGATGGAGAGGAGTGGGTCAGGCCCAGATCAACGGTCATTTACTATAATGGTTCATGGTCTTCATTCCCAAGGCAAGATCGATGAAGCTCTGCAGTACTACACAACAATGAAGTCTAGAGGTATGATTCCAGAACCTAGGACCAAGATACTAGTGAAAGCTATGCATATGAAGAAAGACGGGGCTGCCGCTGAAGATGACTCAACAAGTATGGCAGGGAAGCATCTAAAATTGGATCCTCAATCAAGACTATTCAATGTTCATAGATAGTCTGCTGTCAGGTCTTAGTTCTATAAGCCGAGCAGAGGATGTTGCGCACATAGGTTTATGGATTGAAAGAAAGAAAAAGTTGTTGTCTATGGGTGTCCAGATCACAATGGCCGCACCTTGGGCTAAAAAGAATCATCAGTCAAGAGTCATTGACATTATCATTTCTCAGAAAGTTTTGCTCAGACTTACAGTACCAGGTTATGTTTTTTTCTTTCAAATATCTGATATGATCCAATTGCAAGTACTATTTTTTGCATGCTTGTAGTATGAAGTATATATACAAATATGTGCAAATGTTTGTTTGTTCATCTGTTATGTTTGGTTGTGTCTAGTTGTTGCCAACACATGCAGCAGCAGATAGCTTCAGAAGCCCAAATATTTATGTCTTGAACCGATCCAGAAATCATTACACCAACTTTATTTGCCAAACCACGCCGTCCCCTTGCAGTCCACCATAGAGATTAAGCAATTTGGCACTTCGGAACAGACTCGGCGCCATACAACAAGGTGAATAGATAGAGCCATAGAGGATCTCAGATACTCCATCCCAAATTATAACATCATGTTCGCTTGATCGTATCAGCCATGCTTATCAGCCATGATAGAGTGTTTTTCTCTCACAACAAAACAACATCAGCCGGCTTATAAGCCACAGAAACGATCAAGCGAATAGAGTGTAAGTCGTTCCAACTTTCTTGGAGAATCAAAACATCTCAAGTTTGACCAAATATATATAATAACATAATAACATTTATGATACCAACTAAGTACATTATATTCTCCATTAATTATATTATTATAGTATATCTATTTGATATCATAAATATTTGTAATTATCTCTATAATTGTGGTCAAACTTGAGGTGCTTTAACTCTCCAAGAAAATTAAAATGACTTATAATTTGGAATGGAGTGAGTACTTTAGAGGTGGACGGCCGAATTCAATTCACCAGTAGCTCAAATATGCAAATTAAAGATAACCTCAACTTGGAGAGCTCAATCAGATTTGAAATGCAAGGTTTTCGCTTGGACTTTGCTTGAGCAGAGTTTGATCAGGATCAGCTCAAATACCTTGCTTGTGTAGAATTTTATAACCGCAAAAGAAGGGATGACCTAAAGACCCGATGTGCAGGCTTTGCTTCTTGGGGCCCGGTAACTTCAGCTCATCTGACATCTATGCAACAACTGTCTTACTAATTACTAGACAAGTTTGTAATATCTTTTCAAGCCGGAGCAAATGTCTTTGTTCACAAAGAATTCATACTTAATTCGTATGAATTTAGTGAATATGAAAACTCTAAAAATTTAGTGAATATGTATCGATGATAATTTGTCTTCATTTTCTTGCTCCAATTTAGAACATGAGTTTGTATCGCCACCGCCCACTGGCACCCTTGGTGCACTTTCAGAGCAAACCTCTGCTGTATGCATTCCTCGGTCTGTTCGAAGGTGACAATCACTCATCAAATTGACACTGATACCCTTGCATAAACGTGAGATAATTAAGGCATGCATATACATTTGACACATGACACACTTGCTCTAGTGCTTAACATACGGGCGCCACGAGCATACACAGCTAGCATCGCTCTCGCTCCGGCAACGTTCAGGGGAGGACGGGGACACGTGCCGGACGGACGACGTGGCCTGGATCCGGCTCCCCTGCCGGCTCGACGGCGCCGTGCGTCTCGTGGAAGGGGTGGTCGGGCAACGCCACCGGCCGGACAGCAGCGTCCTGCTGCTTCTTGTCCAACGGGTGGTGGTCGGCCAACGCTGCTGGCCCCGCCATGACGGCGAGGGGACGCTGGTGGAGCGTGGCATCAGCATCAGGCGAGCAGACCTTGTCGCAGGCGTAGCTGCAGTAGTCTCGCTTGTTCATCCTGGACATGCAGTCGTTGAAGCAGTCGTCGTAGCAGTCCGCGTACGCACCGCCCGCGAGCAGCAGCACCGCCGCCGACGCCACCACCATGGCCGCCGCTCGTCCAGCGGCCATCCCCTTCTTCCGCCGCACCTCTTGGACGCGCAATCTACCGCTTGCAGTCTCGCACTGGCTGCAGATGACCAGGGCGGTCTCCTTTGCGTCTGAGGAACTAGGACGCCGGCGCGCATCGTCCTCTTATACGACGGCGGCGGCCGACAAGCGAGCCGGCACTGTCTGTCACGCCGGACGCGTGCATGAGACGAGGGAGATAGGCAAGCGTGCAGGTTTTTCGGACTTGTGTCATTGTGTGATCGTGTGGGTGCGCGCACGCGTGGTACAGCAGCACAGCCGTGTTGTTGTGTCGTCGTGGATAACACTAGGAAGAAACATATATCAGAGCTATGCATGCTCTCGAGGCTAATGAAAGGGCGAGCTTAATTTAGAGGATTACGTGTAAGTGTAATGTATTATACAAAGAAAATTTGTGCAAATATTCCTATCAAATACTATCATAACAATATAATTTACATTGAGTGGCCTTCACATGTAGTAATTTTTTTATTTATTGAAAGGGGCTTGCTAGTGCCCGAACATTCGGACGGATGGGGTGTGCGGACGCCCGCGCCTGCAGTGCTTTTCCCACACCATTTCGCGCACCCACGCAGGGCCCACACCGCCCCTAACATCACCAGCATTAAGAAGAGGTGGAGGGGATGGCGAATGCCCAGCCGGCGTCGACAGGAGGAGACACCGAGGCGAAGTAGAAGAAGGCGAGGAGGGAGATACAACACTTGCAACATACGTCTGAAGGTAGATGAAACACTTGAAATATACATTAAAACACCTGCAAAAACACCTAAAAAACACTCGAAACCATTGCAAAAACATACACAATATCCAGATAGAACAGTTCAACATGTGTGTGAAACATATGCAACATTCAAATAAACACACTTGCAACATACATCTGCAAAACAGATGAAACATTGGGAATAGAAGCTTGCAACATACGTATACAATCATTGCAACATATGCAACATCCCGATCTACTTTTGCAACATCCACATGAAACACTTGCAACATATCTATGAAACATTTGAAACACTTGAAACATAAGCTTGCAACATACGCTTTCAGCGTAGCATGTACTTGTTGCTTGGACAAAATGGAGGCTCGTCGACGCGGAGCTCGACACCGGCACGGATGAAAGGTCCTAGTATGGCTAGAGGGGGGGTGAATAGCCTATTTAAAAATCTACAAATTAACTAGAGCAATTCGATTAGTATAACAAATAGCGTAATGCAAACTTGCTCTAGCTCTACAAGGGTTGCAAGCCACCTATCCAACAATTCTAGTTGCTATGATCACTAACCACACAATTTGCTATGTTACTATTCACTAAGAGCTCTCACACTTGCTACACTAAATAGCTCCACTAGATGAACTTGAAACAACAAAGCAAGCGCTCAATTCTAATTACACTAAAGAGCTTGCTACAACTAGTTTGCAAGAATATAAATGAGTGAGTAGGGTGATTATACCGCCGTGTAGAGAAATGAACCAATCACAAGATGAAGATTAAACCAATCATCGGGAGAATACAAATGGCAAGAGAGAACCGATTTTCTCCCGAGGTTCACGTGCTTGCCAACATGCTAGTCCCCGTTGTGTCGACCAACACTTGGTGGTTCGGCGGCTAAGAGGTGTTTCACAGACCTCGTCCACACGATTGGACACCATAAGAACCTACCCACAAGTGAGGTAACTCAATGACACGAGCAATTTACTAAAGTTACCTTTCGGCACTCCGCCGGGGAAGGTACAACTCCCCTCACAATCACCAGAGACGGCCACGAACAATCACCAACTCATGCCGATCCTCCACCGCTGCACCAAGCCATCTAGGTGGTGGCAATCACCAAGAGTAACAAGCAAAACCCGTAGCGAAACACGAATACCAAGTGCCTCTAGATGCAATCACTCAAGCAATGCACTTGGATTCTCTCCCAATCTCACAATGATGATGGATCAATGATGGAAATGAGTAGGAGGGCTTTGGCTAAGCTCACAAGGTTGCTATGTCAATGAAAATGGCCAAGAGAGTGAGCTTGAGCCGACCATGGGGCTTAAATAGAAGCCCCCACGAAATAGAGCCGTTGGGCTCCTCACTGCACTGAACACGGGCTGACCGAACGCTCCGGTCAAATTGACCGGATGCTGGACCTCAGCGTCCGGACGTGCGATGTGCGCCACGTGTCATCGGCTTCAAACGTCGATTGCCCGATTTCAACGGTCAAGTGATGACCGGATGCGTCAGTTAGAAAGTGACCGGACTCTGGATCTCAGCGTCCGATCGTTTCCAGTAAGGTTCCAAACGCGATATTTCACGACCGGACGCGTCCGGTCATGCTCGACCGGACACTCCCTGTGTCCGGTCACTCAACGCTTCCTCTATGCGCCTCACGTCAGCGTACGTCAGCACTGACCGAACGCACCCTACCAGCGTCCGGTCACTTTTATCACCAGCGTCCAGTCGAAGATCGAAACACGCACCCTCTGCTCCACTGACCGGACGCTCCGGTCCAACCGAGACCAGCGTCCAGTCACATACAGTGACCTTCGTCTTCTCTGTCTAGGGCACCGGTGAAGTTTCCTACCCTTACTCAAATGTGCTAACCACCAAGTGTATCACCTTGTGCACATATGTTAGCATATTTTCACAATCATTTTCAAAGGTGTTAGCACTCCACTAGATCCTAAATGCATATGCAATGAGTTTGAGCATCTAGTGGCACTTTGATAACCACATTTCAATACGAGTTTCACCCCTCTTAATAGTACGGCTATCGATCCTAAATGTTATCACACTCACTAAGTGTCTCGATCACTAAAACAAAATGGCTCCTACTATTTATACCTTTGCCTTGAGCCTTTTGTTTTTCTCTTTCTTCTTTTCCAAGTTCAAGCATTTGATCATCACCATGCCATCACCATCATCATGATCTTCGCCATTGCTTCATCACTTGGAGTAGTGCTACCTATCTCATAATCACTTTGATAAACTAGGTTAGCACTTAGGGTTTCATCAATTAACCAAAACCAAACTAGAGCTTTCAATCTTCCCCTTTTTGTTAATTGATAACAACCCTTACACAAAGATATGAATTGAGATTTAATTGAATCCACGTTGCTTGCCCAAGCATATTTACCATGTGTAAAAGAATATGAACAAGTTTCATGAACTCCAAATGGTAGCAATTGCTCCCCCTACATACGTGCTAAGAGTTTGGATTGTAGCTTGCACATATGCTTAGATAGGAAATATAGGAGTTAATTTCTACCAAATGATGCTAAGGTATAAGAGATGGACCTTTAAAGCGTGATATCAATCGGAGTGCACCAATATACCATCCTTAGCACCATTAGTAACTAGACATACACAAAAACTAGAATACCCCATGAGATCAATATTATAAACAAGGGTTTAGTTTCTATAGAATGAACATAGGTCTAGTTACTTTAGCCTATGCATGCTAGTTTTTCATTTCAACATTCAAACCTACAACTAGCATACACCACACAAGCATGGATATTGAAATTAAGAACTTATACCATGCAAGCAAATATATGAAATGCACATCAAAATACAACATACAAGTTTATGAGCTTGCTCCCCCTACTTGTGTGCATTTTTGATTGATCCCCTTACAATGTCATTTCATTTGTTTGCTCATTCTATCTTACTATCTTTGTGAATTTCTCTCCTCCTTTGTCAACAATTAGCACAAACGGTGAGCTCAAATTATAGATAGGTTGGGGTGAAACCATGTGAAATGAGGATCATTTTTCCAATTTGGTTCAATCAAGATTACTTGCAAAAGATATTTAACTCGGTTTGATCCAAGGACAAGCTTCTTCACACCTCTAAATAAGGGTTATCTTGTACCATGTTGAGTTAAACACTTATAGCTTATTTTTTAGATCAAACACTACGTTTACAAGCCCACAAACATGTCATATGCTACCACTAGATCATTTCAAGCATACAAGCAATAGTGGTACCATACAAGCATCAAATTTATTTGATTTTCATGAATGAGTCTATTCAAATATGAAATATGTCTAGATGCACTAATCATGTCCTTAGCAAGGATATATGCCATGCCAATCAACTTTTACCTTAGATTGCTTGAAGGAGAGGCATGTCATAAAATTTGGGGTGTATCAACACATATTGGAGAAGTCAAGTATGTTCAATTCATTCCTTAGCTTGCAAAACCTCTTCTCATCAAGTGGCTTGGTGAAGATATCGGCAAGTTGATCTTCGGTGCCCACACTCTCAATGCAAATGTCCCCTTTTTGTTGGTGATCTCCTATGAAGTGATGGCGGACATCAATATGCTTTGTTCTTGAATATTGAACCAGATTGTTGGTGAGCTTTACGGCACTCTTATTGTCACATAGCAATGGCACTTGCTTGAATTTAATTCCAAAGTCACTTAAAGTAGCCTTCATCCAAAGTAATTGAGCACAATAACTACCGGCCGAAATGTACTCCGCTTCGACGGTTGAAAGTGCTACACTATTTTGCTTCTTTGATGACCAAGATACAAGTGATCTTCCCAATAGTTGACATGTGCCCGATGTGCTTTTTCTCTCAACTTTGCATCCCGCATAATCAGAGTCCGAATATCCAATCAACTCAAATCTTGCTCCTTTGGGATACCACAATCCAACATTTTATGTATGCTTCAAATACCTCAATATTCTCTTTGTTGCTTTCAAATGACTTTCTCTTGGTGATGCTTGAAATCTAGCACACATGCATACACTAAACATCACATCCGGCCTTGATGCGGTCACATAGAGTAGGCTTCCAATCATAGACTGATACATCTTTTGATCCACCATGTTGCCACTAGCATCACTATCCAAGCTTCCACTTGTCCCCATTGGTGTACTAATAGCTTTAGCATCATCCATTCCAAACTTTTTGAGCACGTCCTTGATATACTTGACTTGACTCACAAATGTGCCATTCTTCATTTGCTTGATTTGAAGACCAAGGAAGT